AAGAGCGCTCTATTTCGAAATACAGCCTCTCTCCGACTTATGAACCGGTTACGGACCAAGCAATGGGTCGGAACTCGGTTTGTTCGTAAGTCGGACCCCACTTACACGCGACTGCGCTGTTCGTAAGCGCGGATCGCGTTTGGAACTCGGGGTCCGCCATTGACGACAGTTTTGGTCGTAACTGTAGATGGTCGTAAGTCGACCGTTCGCAACTCGGGGGCCGGCTGTGCACTCGAAATAAGCAATGCCCTTTGCGGTGAACAGAAGCACATAAGAATGGCCGGACTGGGTCAGACCAAAGGCCCATCCAGCCCAGTATCCTGTCTGCCCACAGTGGCCAGCGCCAGGTGCCCCAGAGGGAGTGAATTGAACAGGTAACGATCAAGCGATCACTCTCCTGCCATCCATCTTTACCCTCTGACAAACAGAGGCTAGGGACACCATTCCTTACCCATCCTGGCTAATAGCCATCGATAGACTTAACTTCCATGAATTTATCTAGTTCTCTTTTAAACCTTCTTAAAGTCCTAGCCTTCACAACCTCCTCAGGCAAGGAGTTCCACAAGTTGACTATGCACTGTGGGTTGAAGAACTTCCTTTTATTTGTTTTAAACCTGCTGCCCATTAATTTCATTTGGTGACCCCTAGTTCTTCTATTATGGGAACAAGTCAATAACTTTTCCTTATTCACTTTCTCCACACCACTCATGATTTTACAGACCTCTGTCATATCCCCCCTCAGTCTCCTCTTTTCCAAGCTGAAAAGTCCTAGTCTCTTTAGTCTCTCCTCATATGGGACCCGTTCCAAACTCCTAATCATTTTAGTTGCCCTTCTCGGAGACTTTTCTAATGCCAGTCTATCTTTTTGGAGATGAGGAGACCACAGCTATGCGCAGTATTCAAGATGTGGGCATACCATGGATTTATATAGGGGCAATAAGATATTCTCCGTCGTATTCTCTGTCCCTTTTTAAATGATTCCTAACATCCTGTTTGCTTGTAGAGTGTTGGGTGCCGTGTAGATGCGCCCTAAAGGGGGGGGAGGGGATCTGTTAGCGGTCTAGAAAATCGCGAGGGGTATGGAAAAACCGAATGAGGCGACGTTATTTACTCCTTCCACACAAGAAGCCGACCCAATTACATTTATAGGCAGCAGATTTTAAACAAGCAAAATACATTCTTTTTTGCACGCTCAACCTGCGGAACTCCTCGCCAGGGGACGGTGGAAAGGCCTGAACTATAAGAGGTGTCCAATAAGAACAGAATAAGCTCCAGGAGGATCGGTCCATCGATGGCGATTAGCCAGGATGGGTAGGGCGGGTTTCCCTAGCTTGTTTGCCAGGAGCTGAGACTGGGCGTCAGGGGGATACAGAGCCAGATGGACCATTGACCTGATCCAGTCTGGCCCTTCTAATGTGCTGATAGAGATCCCAGATGTAGCTGCCCCCTGCTGTAACCCCTAGGCTCCACTCCCCTCCCAGAGCGGAGAGTCCAGGAGTCCTAATGGCCTCTCTCTCTCCATCTCCGCAGTTAGCAACAAAGCAGGAGCAGCTCTCACAATGGTGCGGGTCTGAGTCCGGCCCCACGGAGAGCCTGGAGGCCAACCAGGCATTTCTCGACCTCTCAGGCCGGCTGGCTCCCTCCTGCCTCTTTCCCACTCACCGGCGAGAGATCCGCTCCCCCACCGGGCCACGGAGATCGGCGTCCGGGCAGCCCTGCGGCCATCTCCGTTCCTGGCTCTTTGGTTACTTCGGTGGCTATAAATCAGGAGGGAGGCCGGATAGGCGCTGGGGAGGGAAGGATCGGGCCCATGAGCATAAGCAGGCAGGGGCTGAGCGCAGGAGCCAGGAGATGGAGCCACGTCCTGGGAATTGGGGGACCTGGGTTGGAGTCCGACTCCTTGGGCAAATCCGTGGCGCTCGGTTCCGCGCCGGGAAAGTGGAGCTGATGGCCGGGGAATGCTCCTTGTGTTTGTACAGCACCCGGCGCGGCAGGACCTGGGTCGCATTTCACACCTCCCGTCTGCTCCCCCGATCCTACCAGGAAAGGGGGTTCGGCTGCGGTGGCTGGACAGGCTCAAAAACGCCTCCCTTCCGGGTCAGTCCCCAGCTGAGGCCTTTTCAATACTGCCAGGATTTGGCCCCAGGAGGGCTGGGACGTGGGGGGGGGGGAGTGTGAAGCTGTCAGCTTCTGAAGGGCTCTCAGGGCAGGCCTGAGTGAGCTAATTAACTTCCTTCTTTCTGCCTCGCTGCTTATTAGGAGTAATTGTCGGTGGCGGCCACTCTGCGGAGCTGGAAGGCGGAGGAAGCGAACCCGAGGCTGGCTGGTCAGACGTGTTTGTGTTACATTCCCGGCTCATCCGCCACAAAGGCCTCGAGTGTGAAACACGCCGGATGAAGAGGGGAGAGCCACATGGGGCCCTGTAGGCTCCGCCTTGCCCGCGTTCCGGGCAGGGGCTCATTTGCATATCGCTACCCAGAATGCTCTCCTCCAGCTCACAGGTGTCCCGCTGGGGCGGGAGGCGTCAGCGCCGGCTGCCTTTGCATGCGCTAGCAGCGCCGGCACTCCGGGATTCGGCATGGGACGGAGGAGAGGAGGCCAAAATCTAGTGCTGCAGCTGCGGCAGGGAACACTGTGAGTAAAAGGTGGGTCCGTGGGTCTCCATGCTGCTCGTGCCTGCTGCCATTGGCTGCCCCCCAGTGACCTAGGCACCGTAACACTGTGCCCCCCCCCTCCTCAAAATCCTTTTCTGTCAGGACAGATCCTTTCCCGCACTGTGGAAAGGGATCCTTACCCTTCCTCCTCTTCGTTTTCTCCTTCCTCTCTTTGTGCTGCACTCGTCAAAGTCAGCGCGAGACTTTCTGTCCCCACCTGTCACTCTGCACGGCGGGTGCTGACAACTTATCTTGGCAGCGTGAGGGAGAACTCCCAGGTGGGCTTGGAAAGGTAGATGCAATTAACTCAGCGCTGTGCGCGCGCGCGTGTGCGGGAGAGCGAATGTGTGTGTGCTGCGTGCGTTGGCACAGGTGTGCACTGCATGCACGGATACGGGCGTGTGAGAGGATGCTGTGCGCATTGACACGGGGGCACGTGTGTGCACTGCATGCGTTGACATGGGGCTGTGTGCACGAGCTGCGTGCATTAACACGGGGGCATGGATGTGAGTTGAGTGCACTGATGTGTGTGTGTGTGATCTGCATGCATTGGCCCGGGGGGGTGCGAGCTGCGTGCATTGACACGGGTGTGATTGTGAGCTGCATGCATTGACACGAGGGCATGTGTGAGAGCTGCATGCATTGACACGGGGGGTGAGCTGTGTGCATTGACAAAGGGGGGTGAGCTGCATGCATTGACACGGGTGCAAGCTGCGTGCATTGACACGGGGTGTGTGTGAGCTGCGTGCATTGACACGGGGGGTGAGCTGCATGCATTGACAAAGGTGGATGAGCTGCATGCATTGACACAGGGGTGCGAGCTGCGTGCATTGACACGGGGGGGTGTGAGCTGCATGCATTGACACGGGGGGATGAGAAAGCAAGAATGTGTGTGAGTGTGCAGTGTGCATTGACACAAGTATGTGTTTGAGCACTACAGACGTTGACATTTGCGGGCTGAATGCCTTGACACGGTGTGTGTGTCGTATGCATGTGCACTGCATGCGTTTACACGGGGTGAGTGTAAGCATTCCATGCATTGACACAGAATGTGTGAGTGTTTGTGTGTATGCATGTTGCATGCATTGACACAAGGTGTATGTGTGCATGCACACTGCCTGCATTCACAAAGAGGTGTGTGCAGAATCTCATGACAGCCAGGAGACAGAACAGGGCTGTCTAGGGTATATGTATGTGTGTGTGTGTTGCATGCATTACTACAGGGAGGAGGGGGGGGTGATGTGTGTGTGCATGCTGCTTGCAGTGATACGGGAGGGGGATGTTGCATGCATTGCCACAGGGATATGTGTGTGCACACGTGTGCATGTGCACTGAATGCATTGCCATGGGCGGTGTGTGTGCAAGCATTACATGCATCGACACAGGTGTGCGGTGTGTACGTGCGTCGGCGCACACACAGACGGTGCCGTGTCCCCGCTTGGGACCGGGCGCCGCGCCTGTTTCCTTCCACGGGTAAAGCCGCCCCCTCTTTAAACCTGATGAAACCCGATTCCCGGCCCTCCTCTCCTCCTCCTTCCCAGCAGCCCCGGGGGCAGGGCCTGTCCTCTGCCCCCCCTCTCCCCCTCTGCCCCAGTGCTGTCTTGTCCCAGGCGGCGCCCCCCTAATGAGGCAGCGGATCAAGGGCTCCCCCCAAGGGCTGTAACTCAGGGCAGACCATCCCCCCGCTCTGCAGAGGCC